GACTTTTAAAATGTATGTTCCCTCCTGGTGGAATGATCTGCCCAACTCAGTCCGAGCTCAGTCTTCAAGAATCGGCTAAAAACACATCTCGTCCATCTTTATTTGACCCTCTAACTCTAGCACTCTCTATTCTAATTCTGTGCTTTAAAAAAAAAAAACTTGCCCCTTTTAGACTTGCACTCTATTTATTTACTAACTGCGTGTTTTCTTTAAAAAACACTTGCTTCTCTAATCTTTTTGTATTCTATCTATTAGTTTTTTTAATTTATTTATTATAAAATTAACAAAAGCAAAAAAAGGCCTCTAACACTAGCTAGCTTTATTATTTTTCTATTCTATCTGTTTTCTTTTTATTTATTATATGATTAAAAAAACCTTGCTACATGTACTGCATTAGGCTAACTGAGACTTGTTATAGCACTTGCATATCATTGCTCTTTTGTTTATTTTGATTGCTTCCATTGCCCTCATTTGTAAGTTGCTTTGAATAAAAGTGTCTGCTAAATGTCTAAATGTAAAACGCAAGCTATAAAACACACACTGTAAAATGGATGAGGTTCACTAAAAAAAAGGATCATTAAACATCAAGTCAAAAAATATTAAATGCCAAGGAGAAGAAATGTTTTAAGAGTAGACTTAAAATAGATTGAGTTGAGGCAGTTCTGATATGAATTGGGAGACAGGCCAACGACAGAAAAGGCACGATCACCTCTGTTTTTGAGACGTGCCCTGGGAACTTGCAATAAACCAGAATCAGCCGATCTGAGTGCTCTTCACTGGGTGTATGAATGTAACAAATCAGATAGGTACTGTGGAGCCTGATTATGAAGAGATTTATAGACAAACAGTAAAAATTTTAAATCAGTTCTATATTTGACTGGCAGCCAATGCAATGAGATCAAAACTGGTCTATAAAACACACACTGTAAAATGGATGAGGTTCACTAAAAAAAAGGATCATTAAACATCAAGTCAAAAAATATTAAATGCCAAGGAGAAGAAATGTTTTAAGAGTAGACTTAAAATAGATTGAGTTGAGGCAGTTCTGATATGAATTGGGAGACTATTCCACAACTTACGGCCAACAACAGAAAAAGCACGATCACCTCTGTTTTTGAGACGTGCCCTGGGAACTTGCAATAAACCAGAATCAGCCGATCTGAGTGCTCTTCACTGGGTGTATGAATGTAACAAATCAGATAGGTACTGTGGAGCCTGATTATGAAGAGATTTATAGACAAACAGTAAAAAATTTAAATCGACTGGCAGCCAATGCAATGAGATCAAAACTGGTGTGATAGACTCATGTTTGCAAATCCCATAAAGAAGCCGAGCCGATTATTATCAAACCAAACACCTACGTTTCTTGCACACGTAGTGCTATATGGAATAAGAAGTTCGGATTCAAAATCATGTACACAGTGGTCATTTGAGCCAAACAAAATAAATTCAGTTTTACTCTCATTGAGGCTTAGGAAATTACTTGCAAGTCAAAGTTATAGTTCATCCAGACAATCTAAAATAGGCTTTGAAGCCTGTTTATTGTCACATTTCAAAGGGATATAAATTTGTGTGTCGTCAGCATACAGATGAAAAGAGACCCAATACTTATTAAAAATAGATCCTAGAGGAAGCATATAAAAGGAAAACTGTACCGGACCAAGAATCAAGCCCTGAGGGACACCAGACTTTAAATGTATTTCAGATGAGGATTGGTTTCCAATACTAACAACATACCTCCTATTAGTGAGATATGAATGAAACCACTGCAACACCGTGCCCCGGAGGCCAACACATGTTTCAAGACGTGATATAAGTGTATTATGATCAATTAAATCAAAGGCAGAACTGAGGTCTAACAGAACCAGAGCCATAGACTGCCCAGAGTCAGTAATTAGCATGATATCATTCAAAACTCTTAAAAGAGCTGAATACAGATGATGTGACTACAGATACGTTCACAGTAAATGCTGCTCCACATTAACTCTTATCATTTACACGTGTGGAGCATCTCAAACTCCATCTCTGCATATTGCTGTGAGTTTGGGTTTATTATAACTTTCACCTGGGAACGCAGTTCATTTGTAAGGTAAATCATTTATAAACCTACACAAACCCAGGAGAATACATCAATATCTTTCTCAATATGCTAATTGTTCATCACGAGTTCAAAATAAAAGTTTTTTTTTATTCCTTAATTCCTCAGAATTAAATGCAGCCAATAGGGGTGTAACGGTTCACAAAATTAACAGTATAGCTGTCTTCATTTATTCCCTTATTACATTATATTTCACACATTTTAAGCTCTTTCATTTTCCAAATGTATGCTAATAGGATTTATCCAACGAATCGTTCGGTTTGTAATGCGTACCGAACCGAAAGCCTCATACCGAACGGTTCAATACGAATACACGTATCGTTACACCCCTAGCAGCCAAACAAGTGAAATATGGTCTTTATGTTAAGCTGAATATCATAAAAATGTATTCAATTTAAAAGAATCATGAATAACAGCTTGCAAACACAATTTTGTTGCAGACCCATAACGCACACTCGATTCTATATTGCATAAGAGCTTCTTCCCGCGAGAAGAAATGCCAATGGAAGCAGAGGTAAACATTCAAATAGTGCACTCTTGTACACATCGCATTTCCCACGAGAGCTGACTGTGTATGCTCTGCTCCCTAACAAACCACACATAAATTGCGTGTATCACCATCACATGATGTAGCGAGGGCAGAGAGAAACAAGCGATCTAAAATGCAGTCTAATCACACGC